GTTTGCGTGCCATGGCGAAGTTGTCGGGCAGGACCGGTGGTGTTGTCTTCCACGGAAGGCCCACATGATATCGACCGTCGCTGAACGCCAGGGATTCCCGTGTCTTTGTGAGCAGTTTCTCCTCCGCCGGTGACAAGTGTGGCAAGTCGGGTACGGCTAGCTCCTCGACGTCCCAGAAGCGACGCAGTAGCTGACTGATCTCATTGCCGCCGAGCTGCAGCTGCGCATGGTACGCATGCCCCATACGCGAACTGCCTGGGCTCGCCCGTACCGGCCCCACACAGGTCCATCCTAGCGGGGTGAGCCGTGCGACTGGTTCACCCGGCTTACCAGTCACCTCGTGCAAGGACTGGTGCGCTGCGACACAGTCCAGGCCGAGCAGAACGTCGACTCGATCAGGCTTGGCGGTGGGAGGGAAACGTATCCCTTTGAGATGTGGCCATGTCGATGCGCCGCGGTGCCAGTTGACTGGCTTCAGGCGTCCTGTTGGGTGCCGCACTGTCCAAGCATGGAGGTCTGTGCTGAACATGCCGTTGACACTTGCTACGCTGCAAGACACATGCACCGACTGAAATGTACTCGGTGTTCCGTCCAACGTGTTGACCGTGATGCTCTGCAACTCCCCGTGCAGACCAAGTTCGTGTGCTACGCCCTCACTGATGTAGCTCATGGTGCTGCCATCGTCCAACAGTGCATTGACGTGAATGCTTGTGTCGCCGTGCTTGATGGTGACCGGTATCGTCCTCAGGCTGATGGTCACGTGGGTGCTCTGGGAGGCGTAGCACTCCTCTTCCGTGGACGGAGAACCCTCCGTGACGACGGAGCAGAATGTCTGCTGCTCTGTTTGGCTGGACGACTGTTGGGTGCTAGCTGTGTTTGGCATAGCGCATCCTGCCCGACGCCCTGAGACAGAGTTCGCTGCTGGTGCCTGTGTGGACGGGCGTGTCACGCTGCTAAACACAGGGCCTCTGCTCTGTGTGGCGTGCAGAAAGCGATGATGGAGCTTCGTGCACCCGTCCAAACCACATGGCCGACTCCGCGTGCAGTCGCATCCATTGTGGCCGACATCCAGGCAGCGGAAACACACACCTGAATCCTTGGCAATGCGCCATCGCTTGTTCACTGTCGCAACTTTGAAGGATAGGCACTGCCACAGCTTGTGTTCACCTTGGCACACGATGCACTTTTGTGATTTGGCTGCCGGCTGGCTGCTGGTCACGAACGTGCTTGGTCGAGGCGACCGGTGGACCTTTGTTGGCTGTGACGGCTCTGCCTTACTCATGGGAATCAAGCCAGCTTTCGTCTCCGCAGCGGAGACCATGAACTCTGCTTCCTGGGTACAGTACTCAAGCAGCTCTTCTACCGACTCAGCCTTAGCTTGTTCATGCCGCCACCGGTGGTAGCGGGTGATCAGCTGCTCATCCAGCTTCTTGAGAAGAGTCAGGTAGAAGGTTCCGGCCGCCAGCTCAGTAGCTCGGCCCGAGTCCTTCAAGTTAATGACAGCGACTGCCAGCAGTTCCGAGAACTGCTCCAGGTCTCTCGGGTGCTCCTTCCGCACGGGTTTGAGGGCCTCAATTTCTTCCAGATGGATGGCAACTCGGCGCCTCTCTCCGCCATATTTTCGGTGCAATAGGGCCTTGGCTGCATCATACGCAGCGATGGTGTACCCGAATCGGTCGATGGCTTTTAACGGCTCACCCTGGACATACTGTCTTAGTCGAAGCATCTTGCATTCCGCGGTTAGCGGTGCCTTGTCCACACAGGTGGAAAACGCTGCCCACCAGGACTCGAAGCGCCGTTTATCGCCATCGAATGTGGGTATTGTGATTTTCTTCATACTCGCCCATGGCCCGATGTCGGCTGCTAGTGGTCGTTCACCCGTCAGTGGAGGCTGATACATATGGCTGCTCGAGGACCCAGTCGGTTGGGGAGCCATGGATGTGTTGGGGACTGTCACAGCGGGGACGACCGTTGATGCACTTCCAGCTGCACCTCCAGCTGCAGGGACCGTTCTAGGGGGTAATAACACACTCACTGCTGGTCTCAATCTGGACTGAGTGCTGGCAGTGGACTGGTGGCTCTGACTAAACTGAACAGACTTCTTGGTCAGCTGGGCCGTTCCCAGTGTGGTGTTGCTGACGCTGCTCCTCTTGGTGGGCTGACTGACTGCGCCTGGCATAGTACTACTGGCAGTACCATCATTAGCACTGGCCACTGACACACTGCTACCACTGGAACCGGTCACTGGCGCTGATGCACTGCCATTGCTGGTCTGATCAGCACTAGAGGTACTGGCAGTAGATGGTGTTGGAACCCGGAGTGGACTTGTGACACCTTGACTCTCATGAAAGGCCAAGGCACTTAGGCTACTAGGAGAAGTCTTCATGCCAGATTCCACCAGCCCAGATCCAGCAGACCCAGAGTACAGCATTGACCTGGCCCCCAACTGGCCAAAGTCAGACCGCTCCGCACCCACCTCCGTCAAGTGATCTGGCGTCATCATTGGAGCTGAGTACCTCGCCGTCGAGTACTGGCTGTATCCCAAGCCATGACCAGCTCCAAACCGCCCACCAACACTAGCGCTGTACGTGGCTTCTTCCAGTGCTCTGTTCACAGCTGCGCTGTACTTCTCCTCAAGCTCTTCCAGCTCCGCAACCAGCTTCCTCCGTTTCGACAAGTCTCCGTCTCCAGAGCACAGTCCCAGGAGATCGCCCACGACGCCTGCTGCACCAGAGTACGCGTGTTCCAGATATCCAAGGTCGTCATCACCAATCCCCTCTCCGTTCACTATCCGAGTCAGCAAACGTCTTCGAATGTTGGTGAAATTGGCCTTGGCATTGATCTTCATCGTTCTCAGGCATTCTTCGCTGAACGCCGGTTCTTCATCATCATATTCTTGTTCTTCGTCATCAATATCGGAAACTCCAAAATCCTTCACCGTGCCCTCTGACTGCTGAATGCTGCTTGAACCGCCACTACGGGGGACCTGCTGTTCGTCCGCCAAACCTACGTCCGCCCCGACTTGGTCCGTTCCTTGCAGACTCTCGTCACTTGCCACTGACAAAGAACTCTTTGTTTCCGCCATGGTTAACATTCAAACCATCCTCTGCTACCAAATAATGTGGCTCATAAACCCAGAGATATTCTCGAAAGGCAACTAACTGTCTTGAACCATACTCAGATTTACTTCGATGACCATTCAGAAGAATACCATCACAAGCAGAACTCTGGAAAACAACAACTGTGCCTACGCTCCGATGAACTTATATAGCAAGAGCGACGGCCCCATCTAACACCCTGCCTCTACACCAACACTCAGCACATGCATGTAGATAAGAAGAGCGCGTGATGACGAATAAGGTGCTAAGTGCTAGCGTAGAAACAAGGCGCTAGATGTAAGAAGAGCGCGTGATGACGAATAAGGTGCTAAGTGCTAGCGTAGAAACAAGGCGCTAGACGTGGCGCGTACAGGCAACGATTTAGCAGAGCATGGAGAGGAAAACTGTTCAGCAACATTCAAAAAAGCAGAACGAGAACGAATAATACTTCAATTGAGGCTACCTCCGTAACACAGACACTATGTCCGGTGAAATTGAAAACGTCCGGTCAGTGGCCGAAAATGGCCGGAAAATGTCCGATGTTCGGCCGTTAATCTATGCCTCCCGGTATTTTACGACTCCCTGGTTCTCACCGTCCAGGAGCGACACTGACACACGCTGCTATCTGGTGTTCACGAGGTGTTTGTGGCACTGGAAACGGAGCGTCTCTGTAAGTTTGTATCCCTGGTGATGTTTGTGGCTGGAGAGCACTATAATTATATATTATATAAGTGGTGCTCTTCAGGCACAATCTTCCTCAGCCTACTCAAGCTCAACTGATGAGGGGTGAATTCCCCGAAATACTGTGTATTGAGCAGGAAGTGGTGCTTTCTTGCAGGTTTGCCGAGTGGACGGTTCGATGGACTTCTCGTGTGCTCTGGATGGCAGCCGTGAGTCAGTCATGTGACAAATGAAGTCGGTTGGTTGAAGAATGGCACAAGCAAACATTTCCTGACAACGACAGGGACTGTAACGACAGCCACGGCAGCAGCACCAGCAGCAGCAGCAACAACAACAACATCATCATACAGAGATAGGCCTGTAGGCTGTAGTTAGCTGGCCACGCATGTTTGCCGTTCTCTTTGTAGATAGGTAAGACTGTAGCCAACTTCCAGTCACTAGGTAGCTGCCCGAGCCGGAAACTAGTGTTGGCACAGGGACTGCATGATCATGGGTGCCACTTCTCTCAGTATGCCGTTCGTGATATGCATACCCCCGCCCACAGACTTGTGCCTGAGCAGAGTGCGCAGCTTGCAGAAGACTCCCGTGCTGGGTGTCGAAAGATTAGAATTCCCAATCTCTCGATTTATCAACACAGGTCACAAGTCCGATCTCACCTCTACAGGTGGCACACATCATAGGACAAAGGAGTCTGTAGTAATCTGGTAATCGCTCTTTCCAGAATAATACTAGAGAACAACAAAACTGAAAACCACTCGTGTCCAAGAAACGCAGCATAACCCACCACCGTGGGAGAAGAAAAACACATTCGCAAAAGCGCGCCAAACTGTGCTGCATGCACGTGCCTTGACAAGTACATGTACAGTCATGCATACGTGGGCCAGAACAAGTCATACAAAGCACGGGAACGTGGGCATGGAACTAGCGTTTTGTACTTAAACAAGAACAGGCACAAACATGATACAAATCGCGCGACAAGGTCGCCGCGACACTCCAGCCGACCGGGAATGTACACCGGGAGGTAACTTATAGAGCATAAGCAATGCAGATACACACGCACACGCACACACACACACACACACACACACACACACACACACACACACACACACACACAGCAAGCAGTTAAACAGGCATACAGAGAGTTTTATGTGCTTGTGAGGTCACTGCCAATTGGACCAAGCACCACCTAATCCTCACACTCTGACACGGTCAAACTTATCAGGCGTGTGGGATGTGTACGTGCAGCAACGATACAGCTGTCCACTTTGCAATATTCTGCCGGGCCTTGTCAGCTGCCGCACGAGTTGGTCGCTGGGGGTTGTCAGATGCTGGTGCAGTAACTGGCACCTCACTTGCAGTTTCCGGGAGTTCCGTTGGGACTTGGCGACACTCAAGGCCGTACAATTTGCATACTGGTCGATTGACCTCCTTGCCTGTGCTGGTTATAATGCGGGCAGCCCGGACGGCGCCGTCGGTCTGGCTCTTCTCTAGTGCGACAACACGGGCCAGCTTCCACATGCATCTTGGAGCCGTCTCTTCGTCAACGAGGACAACTTCGCCCACACTAGGTTCCGGTGGGGGTTTGGGGCAATGTTGCCGTTTGGACGTGTGAGCCATCCGCTCTTGGAGCACTTGGAGGTAGTCTGTTCGCCACAAGCTCCAGAACAGTTCGCTTTGGGTCTGCCTGTGACGCCACTCGGTGAGCAGGGATAATGCCGGGTCGGTACTTGGAGGTGTATACTCGGGGTCATCCAGCGCAGTTGAAAGTGGCAGAGCAGCTGGACGACTTCCAAGGAGGAAGGGAGCAGGAGTCAGTATCTCGACATCCCTGCCCTCATAGTCGGCGGTGACGGAGGTAAGGGGTCTGCTGTTGACTGCCGCTTCGGCTTCAGCTAGAAGAGTGGCGAGCTGATCAAGACGGAGGTGCTGACGCCCCAGTGCCTTCCGTAGGCTCCGCTTCACTAGCCCCACCATTCTTTCGTACACTCCTCCCTGCCAAGGTGCGAAGGCGGTTGTGAATTTCCAGGTGATACCCTGGCTGGTGAAGTAGTTGGCAACACCAGGGTCCGTGGCGACTGTGCTCCACAGCTGGTCGAGCACACCACTGGCTGCTTTGAATTGCGATGCGTTGTCTGAATACAACAGGCGGGGTACCCCTCTCCTGGCCACGAATCTCCGGAAACAGGCAATGAACTGAAGCGCTGTCATATCAATGACCCACTCGAGATGCACAGCACGTACCGCAAGACATGTCAAGAGGCAAACCCAGACCTTGGATGTTGTAGTGCCATCGGCTTGCTTCACCAGTATCGGACCAAAATAATCGAGGCCAACATACTCGAATGGGGCTGCTGGAACCACTCATTCCTTCGGTAGGGCTGGAGGGGACGGCAGCTTGTACGGTGGTCCTTCATGCCTGCGGCAAACGGTGCAATTTCGGAGGATGGACCGAACCGCTCGGCGGCCCTGCGGCACCTAGAAGTTGAGTCGCAAATGGGCTAGCGTATGGGCTGTGCCGGCATGCAAGAGGCGGCAGTGAACGTCAGTGATGACGAGTCGGGTAAGCCGGTGAGTAGCTGGTAAGAGAGCCAGGGCCGGATGACCAGCCAATGCAAGTCGCCCATGACAATGTAGTAGGCCGTGATCATCAATGGCGACGCCAAGTTGTCCGCGGATGGGGCAATGGTTGTTGGTTGCGAAGCTCTGGAACACATCAGCAAAGCATTCAAGCTGAGCCATCCGAATGAGTACAGCTAGAATGAGACGCCGAGAGGCCGCATTGAGATGCGAAGATGAGGCTAGAGCGGTCAGCAATGAACAGAGGAGGGAGTGAGTGGTTCGTAGGCGAGACTGACTGACCGGCAACAAACGGGACCAGAGCCGCTGCTGGATGAAGTTACAGACGTAGAAGCTGATGCGAATAGGTCGCTCTAGCGATGACACCCGGTCACAGATAGTGGTGGCGATGGCAGGCCGTGACTGGGGGAATGCTGTGGCGATTAGCGTGGCACCATGCAACACCTTCGGTCCACGAACCTCAGTAGCAGCAAGTTCCATAACGTCAGGTGTGACGACTAGTTTCTGTGGCCACTGGGAAGGCTCCTTAAGAAGCCAGCGTGGACCCTTCCACCAGAGTGTGCTAGCTGTGAGTTGCTCCATTGTCTGAGGGCGTGTCGCCAAGTCGGCTGGGTTATCCAAGGTTGGTACATAGCAGTACGAGATTGACGTGTGGGAGCGCAACACCCTAATTCGGTTCTGGACAAAGGTTGACAGGTCACGTCGGGAGACCAGCCAGTGGAGAACACACTTGGAGTCCGTCCATAACGTTGTGGACGAGATCGGCAGATGAAGTTGGTCATGGAGAAATCGGGATAGTCGAGCACCGATTGTCACACCAAGTAACTCCAGACGCGGGATGGTCAACGAAGCAGTGCCGCCTGCATCGAGTTTGGGCATCGGAGCCAAGCGCAACTTGCTGTAGATGAGTCCGCTGTGATGCACCTCACCAACGGAGATCCGTAAATACGCAACAGCAGCATATACCTCGGCTGATGCGTCTGTGAAGATGTGTAGTTGAACATCTGTCGCGGTGGCAACCGGACCACAGAGTCGAGGGACAGGTAGTGACGTAGCGGTTGACATCATAGTCGAGATAGCTGCCCACCTGTCGGCCAGATGTGCTGGTAGCGGCGAGTCCCAATCGAGCTGAACTTGCCATAATTCTCTCAGGAGGAGTCGGGCCTGAAGAGTGATGGGTAGTAGCAGGCCAAGCGGGTCATACAGGCTAGAGAGACCGCTCAGGATAGTGCGCTTGGTGACAGGCTGAGACGGACACCGCAGCATCTTACTCTCTGGGATGGTAAGAACATCGGCATGTGTATCCCAGAGGAGACCGAGAACCTTGGTGCGACGAGAGGTGAGAAGATCATCTTCAGGGAGAGCGGCACGAACCACGGCCGAGCTGCTGGTCCATTCACGTAAGTTCATTGACGCCTCGGCAAAGATACTCTTGGCCTGGTCGTGGACGGGCAATGCTTCTTCATCGGTCCGGACGCCAATGACAACGTTGTCGACGTAGATATTCCTGGCAATCGTTTCAGACAATGGCGACGGGTGGCGCTGTAGGTGATGGCGTATTGTGGCTTCCAATAGAAATGGGCTAGCAATTACAGCAAAGGGCATTCTGCAGAACCGGTAAACCGCAAGGTTGTCCTTGGTCAGGTGAGGATTCGTAGCATCCCTGAGCCAGAGAAAACGTGTCACATCGCGGTCTTCCTTCCGGATACGCAGTTGAAGAAACGCCTTCTCGATGTCAGCAACAATGGCAACGTTGTAGCACCGAAAGCGCAGGAGCATACCACAGAGGTTGGGCAGACGGATAGGGCCCCGGTGCATGCATTCGTTCAGGCTTTTCGACTGCTTCGTTGTCTTCGCCGAGGCATCGTAGACAATGCGTAGCTTCGTGGTCTGTTTCGACGGCGTTATAACTGGCTGATGGGGCAAATAGTGCTGTGGCGTGCCCGTAGGCGGTGGGTTCGCGACAGGCTCGATGATCCCCAGGTCAACTTGCGATTGGATGACCGTGTCGTACTGCTGTCGGAGGTCGGAATCATTGGCTAAGCGACGGCACAACGTAGACAACCGGCCAAATGCGAGGCCATAGTTGGTTGGCAGGTCAGGTGGTTCCGATTTCCATGGCCAGGCCACTTCGCACCGGCCACCAGTGAACTGGATGTGGTCCTGGAAATGGCGGAGCGCCAGGTCATCAGCAGTGACGGCGGGGCAGTCGTGGATGCCAATCCGATCCAAATTCCACATCTCGGTCAGATTGGGTGTGAGTGTCGACCGCGGCGTGGAATCCATTACTTGGAGCTGATGGGAGGCAAGGCGTACAGCGGTGTGACACAGCAGTGTGGATGTTTGGCTGGAGTCATCATGTGACGGAGCACAGCAGCCAGTAAGGATGTAACCCAGACGCGATGGGAGGAGCAACAGACCCGACGGCAACACGATCCGGTCCTGTTGAATAATGCTCCAGAAGTAATCCGTGCCGATTAACAGGTCAACGGATGCCTTCTCAGATGTGTCTGGAAGGTTGTCAGCCAGACTAGAAGATAGCGACTGCAGGAACTGTCGGTCTTGATCAGGAATCGCACTGCGATGGACAGGGTCGGTGATTTTTGGCAGAACATGGGCTGTCAGAGGGAGCAGGGAGCCATCTTGCAGTGCCAGCTCGAAGTCGACAACATTGGCCTGTAGTCGCTGCGGCCCACTACTGGCAAATGTGGACACGTGCAGATACTCCGTACACCGAACAGGAAGTCCAAGTGACTCCGCGGCGGAACTTGTGAGAAAGGTACGTTGACTGCCGCTGTCAAGAAGTACACGAGCGGAAAGTGATTGCCCGCCATTGTGGAGTGTCACCTTGGCCGTCTGCAGGTAGACGTTAGCAGTAGAGACACCGTGACCGGAAGCTACAGTGGTGGAGCTTCCCGGAGGATCTGAAGCGTGCTCTGGCTGCTGACTACCCAGGGGAGGGTTGTGGACAGCAGCTTGAGTGGTATGCTGGCTAGCGAACAGTGTTGGACAAATAGACGCGTGGTGGCGGTTGGTGATCTGACAGTGGCGGCATGTCCGTGCCCGAGTGCAAGCAGCAGCTTGATGACCTTTGCCAAGACACCGGAAGCAGCGTTGTGTCTTGAGAAGCTGGGCCTTGCGGGTTTGCTCTGTGCCGTACGCCAGACAGTCATCATGACCGTGGTTACCACCGCAGTAGACGCAGGGTGAGCGAAATCCAGAGGGCTTTTGTGATGCACTTGAGTGACGCAGCTGTGAAGGGGCCGGCGAGGTTGTTTGCTGTTGCGCTGCTGACACCAATAGAGCACTTCCGCTAGCAACATGATCAGATACAGCGGTCATCGGGTGGTCGGAAAAGCTGGAGCGTTGTTGGGCACGCTCATGCAGGGTGACGTACCGTTTGAGAGCCTGCATCAGTGTCTTGACATCCCACACCATTGAGGCTTCAGAAAGAGGACGCCACTCCTCCAGCTTGGTGGTCACCTCGAGGGGGAACTTCGACAGGATCTGCTGGCTGACCAGGTTCTGACCACGGAGGTTCTCGCCCTGTGCCTCCAGCTGTCTGAGGAGGTTGTGAACGGTCTCCTGCGTGACCTTGATAGACGCCAATTGGGAGGACGATGGAGGGAGTTGTTGCAGGTGTCGGTAGAGCTTGGTGACGATGACGTCCGGCTTCCCATACTCCTCCCTTAGGGCTTGCAGGGCGATGGGATAGTTGTCGTTCGTGACCGCTAAGCCTGCAATCAAGCGGTTCGGTGGACCGCTTAATGCTGTGCGCAGATATGTGAACTTGGACACATCCGGAAGTGGCTGGGCGTCTACAGACGCAGAAAACATGTCCCAGAATGCGGGCCAGGAAAGTGTGTCACCACTGAAGGTGGGCACGGTCAGCTTCGGCAAGTGAATTGCTGTCACTGCTGGTTTGGCAGATGATGGAGGAGGAGTGGCACTCGTGGCGGCACTACCCCCAGTTCGCACTGAGGTACCAGGCACCCTGGAAGAGGGTGATCGCTTCGGTTTACGAGATGTCCCGCCAGAAGACCGAGTGCCGGCGGAACTGGAACTGGACCAGTCGGAGTCACTGTCTGTATCTGATACGGGATCGGGTGTCATGGGAATGCGGAAGCGAACATTCGGAGACGGGACGACTGGAGTGGCTGGAGAGCCAGTAGCATGGACAGGACCAACAGCAGTCACAGGAGAGCTCGCAGGAGCGGAAGGTGGACCCTTGGAGTGGACCACCACTGCTGATGGGCTGAAGGATTCGCTGGTCAAGGCAGCGGCTGGGGACGTCGTGGGGGAGGGTTGTGGGGCACTGGACCGACTCGAGTTGGCGATTGCCTCCAGTTCCGCATCTGCTGTGGCGAGTCCGGACGGGTTCTCCCTCTGTAGAACGGTACGTGCGTCCCTCAGGACTTCCAGGTCATCGTCGAAGTCGAACTCCCACTTGTCGAGTTGCTCCAGGCGGTCCTCAACATCCGAGGAAGTCGCCTGTTCGGTCAGATCGCGGATTCTAGCCTGTGTGGCATTGATTTCAGCTGCAAGGCGTTCAGCCTGCTGCCAATCTCGTAGCAGGTAGTGTGGTGATGGAGCGTCTTTGGCAAGCTCCCGGGTTAAATTGTGGCGAAGGTGTGTGAGTCGTCGCTTCGTGTTTGCCCTACACTTTACGAGCTGGGCTAGTCTCCATCACTCTGGTCGGAATTTACTAAATAAACTAAGGAAAATCTCTGGTCACTAAAGCACCATGTCGAAAGATTAGAATTCCCAATCTCTCGATTTATAAACACAGGTCACAAGTCCGATCTCACCTCTACAGGTGGCACACATCATAGGACGAAGGAGTCTGTAGTAATCTGGTAATCGCTCTTTCCAGAATAATACTAGAGAACAACAAAACTGAAAACCACTCGTGTCCAAGAAACGCAGCATAACCCACCACCGTGGGAGAAGAAAAACACATTCGCAAAAGCGCGCCAAACTGTGCTGCATGCACGTGCCTTGACAAGTACATATACAGTCATGCATACGTGGGCCAGAACAAGTCATACAAAGCACGGGAACGTGGGCATGGAACTAGCGTTTTGTACTGAAACAAGAACAGGCACAAACATGATACAAATCGCGCGACAATGTCGCCGCGACACTGGGTTGTTTGGAAATTGAAACTGGAGATCTGGGGTAAATTTTGCTGGCTTATAACAATATAATGTTCTCATACTTTCTGCCTTTCTTGTCATTCTTGCTTCTTGAATTTGTTTGTTTTCCTCGAGTTTTCTTGTGTTCGCGGAGAAGGCGGAGAGCCGGAGCGCAGAACCGTTTTGTTTAAATATGATGCCGTGCTATACGCATCTGCCTTCGGATTACCCTCTTTGCACCAGTTCACCACAGTTCCCTCCTCCCATCATGCAAAGCTCCCCACCCTTAGCTCACGACTCCTTGTTAAACAAGTCCTACTAGCGTGGGACATCCACCGCCAAACCTCCCCACCACACCTGCAACAAGCACATCTTGCAGCACAACGTCAACACTAACCATACACCCTTTGACTGACAAGGACCTACTCCATCGGACACGTAGATCTACAAACAAACAGGCACCGAGATTCCTCCATCAACAGGCTGTCGAGCGGGCAGATTGCAAGTTGCGGCTTCTCGTACACCGCATACTTCACGGCAATGTCAGTTTGCTGCTCAAATCACGCCTGGAATACAGTTCACTGCAGTAGTAAGTGCGGGGCAGGTTCTGGCACACTTTTTGACCTTTGACCTTTGGGCCAAATAAGGCACACTGTATCGGTCGTGTTTGGTCTGGCCCCGGGACACCCCCAGGGTTTTTGACCTTTGACCTTTGGGTTAAATAAGGCACACTGTATCGGGCGCGCTTGGTCTGGCCCCGGCCGGGACCCCCCTAGGGTTTGACCTTTGGCCCTGCCATGCCATAAATGTCATCATGTTCTTTTCCGTGACGAACGTGCACTTGTGCACGTTCGGTGCATTCATTGCACCAGGGAGTAGTAAAATACGTAGATCTACTACTCCCTGATTTGCACATCATAGATGTGCATTGCATGCAGTGACATAATTGCGCACGCGTGCATAAGCACGCGGAGCGTGTGACAGTGGTCCTATGTGTGTGGAAAAGACGCAGTGCAACACAAGGTGTAGATCTACTAGTACACGTGTTATTATACAAGTGTGATAGCCGACCTCATATAGACCATATCCAATGACGTCACGGATCGCGCGGCCAAGGGGGCTGCAGAGTCACTGAGTGGCAAAAGAGAGCAGCTGAGAGTTTTGAGTTTGAAAGTACAAACGGTCAAACCACTGAGTTTGGGCGGAAGAGATTCGAGACGAGAAGAAGAAGGCAGCAGTTAGTAATGGATGGCGAGCAAAGCGAGGTAGTGGAGTTTTCATCAGAGTACAAGAAGTTGGATGAGGCTGCAAAGAAAAGGTACGACGAAAAGCTAAATTTGATGGCCAACGGAGCGAAAGACCCGCACTGCATCAGTGGCCATCAAGGTGATCATTTGTCAGACTTGCTGCCTCTAGTCGAATATCCGGACTTGTACAATTACTTGATTACAGCCCCTAGCCCGGTAACGAAGGAAGAACTGAAGGCATATAAAAGTCTCGACGGTCACAAGTTCTTGGTGGCAGGGTGGCTGGGAGATGTGAGTGCGTACGAGGCGACATCGGATCATGAAAAGAGAGCTGTGAAAGCAAAGGTGAGACACTCCCAGTCAGTCAGCAGCGACCCTCTGACACCGTGGATAGCTGCAGAACACAATGGCACTATTATTTGCGCCCACTGCACCTGCAAAGCGGGGCTGGGTGAAGCATGCGCCCACATCCTGCTTTATTGTTTGCCTTGGAATCGCACACTAAATTTGTGTCTGACAACGCCTGCACATCAAGATGATGTGTGTGGTTGCCACCGTCCATTAAGTCAGTTGACTACAAGAGAATAGCTTATATGGATTTCACCTCCCCCAGCAAGAAGTCAAAGACATCCAAGTCGTCTGCTGCTTTACCCAGCCCAACATCTCCTCCTGTTATTTCGGCCAGTGCACCAACAACGTCAGAACTGGATGGATTTTACAGCAAATTGTCCGAGGTGGCAATGCCAGCCCTGCTGTCCATCGTGCCAAGTTACGCAGATGCATATGTTTCAAAGCTACCATCTGATATTCCTGCACCACTGTCCAACTTGTATGAGGAGTCGATGGTCTCAGCCAATTACACTGACTTGCTTGACCGATGTGATGCAGTGTTCTCGACAATTTCTGTGACACCAGATGAGTGCATGGCAATGAAACGAGCAACGCGCGAGCAAGCAAAGTCAGACTTGTCGTTTATGTGCTGTGCGGGTCGCATCACTTCCTCAAAGTTTAAAGCCACTTCCCACAGTGACGCCCATCAACCTTCGGTATCACTGGTGAAGGCAATTTGCTACCCACAGAGTATGAAGTTTACATCCAAAGCAACAACGTGGGGATGTGAACATGAGCAAATTGCCAGGGATGCCTACAAGGTACATGTGATCAAGAAGCATAAGGCATTTCAGCTTTGTGACAGTGGTCTTGTGGTCCATAGCGACTATCCTTACCTTGGTGCCAGCCCAGATGGTGTTGTGTCTTGTGCTTGCTGTGACAACGGTGTAGTGGAGGTTAAGTGTCCCTACAGCTGCTGTGACAGTTCCTTCGACGATGCAACCGAGAAGTCAGGCTTCTGCCTTGGTCGAAAAGCTGATGGTTCTTTCTTTTTGAAGAAAGATCATGCATACTATTATCAAGTGCAGGCTCAAATGTTTCTGTGCCAAGCTGCGTATTGCGATTTCATTGTGTATTCTCATACGGGTCTTGTCATTTCTCGCATCTTGCCGGATACTGATTTCATTTCGCGTGCCATTTCTAAAGTCTCTGACTTTTTCAAACTGACTGTGCTGCCAGAGTTAGTTGGCAAGTTCTTCAGCAAAGGCTTTGAAATCGCTGCAGGACATGCAGCATCAAGTGAACATGCAGGCCAGCACGTGCCTCAGACTGGGCATTGCTTCTGCAACCAAGTGACAGATTCAGAGACAGTGACGCGTGCTGGTGTTGAGTGCCCTGTCAAGACATTCCATGTCGTCTGCTTGCGGATGAAGGGAATACCAAAGCGCAAATGGTACTGCCCCACTTGCCGCAAAACAAGGAAGGCCGAGAAGGATGCCAAGAAAGCACCCAAGAACGTTAACCCTGCATCTTGAATAATATTGCTCATGCCGAGCCAGGGTAACACTGAGAGTTATTTTCATATCACATTGTGATGTACTTATTTATGATGCTGTGCACTGAACTGGAACTATGGCTTTATGACAATGATATTTATTTAGCATTGGGTTAGCTATCTTCACCATGTTGGGGTGCTTACATGTTTCTGTTGTATTGCATTGGTGCTGGTTCCCTTGGCCTTTGTGTCTTGCATCAAGAGTTAGCGTGTGCATGCTTAGTCTGACTCATGAGTCATGCTGATGCTTGCGAGCTGTATGCTACTGTACATGCTATGTGCGGATCATTCTGCTGCTGGTTCTACATATGACGTCTTTATCTCTTTAGTACAGCCATAGTACTTGCTGCTTTGTCCAACTGTCTTATGCATGTTTCCTGTGACCTCGTGCATGAGCACGTGGACCTGAGTTAGTTCCGGAGATGCAAATATTCCGGTAGGTAGTAGGTGGCGAGTTCCTTTCGATCTTCTTCAGATTTCTCTTGGACTGCAACGTTCGTTCTACTATAATTTGGTAATGCTATAATTATTATCTGTATCCCTGTATTCACCTGGATTGGCAGTGGTTGTGCCTGGTTGGGGTTCGGTCGTTGTTCAGTTGGAGTCGCGTTCCGTTACTGCACCCACTTACAGCACCCACTTCTGGCATGTACGCACGTGCACACTTCTGGTCTCATATGCGTACTCTACCGCATTCTCAAAGAGAGCGAGAGAGAGGCTGCATTATTGCCTGGACGAATGAATTGTCCAAGCTATCACTGCATGACCAATAAAGGAAAGAAATAGTACATGTGAGTCAGGGTAAAGCATGCAAAGACAAGAGAGAGGCAGAGAGAGAGAGACTGCCTTATCGCCTGGACAAGTGAATTGTCCAAGCCATCACTAAAAGACAAAGAAAGGAAGTGAAGGGTGAAGCATGCAAAATTAGAAAGAGAGAGATGGGGATTTTATGAAGGACTTTGACATGAAGATTGATGCAAAAAGGTTAGTATGATGAGCCCTCACGGGGTCGAAACAGCTAGCTGTCCGGAGATGGAGCAAGCACTACTATACACATCCAGCTATCCAGAGTAGTAAGTGCGGGGCAGGTTCTGGCCCACTTTTTGACCTTTGACCTTTGGGCCAAATAAGGCACACTGTGTCGGTCGTGCTGGGTCTGGCCCCGGGACCCCCCCAGAGTTTGACCTTTGACCCCTGCCATGCCATAAATGTCATCATGTTCTTTTCCGTGGCGAACGTGCACTTGTGCACGTTCGGTGCATTCGTACCAGGGAGTAGTAAAATACGTACTACTCCCTGATTCGCACATCGTAGATGTGCATTGCATGCAGTGACATATTGCGCATGCGCGCATACGCACGCGGAGCGTGCGAATACGTACTACTCCCTGATTTGCACATCGTAGATGTGCAGTGACATATTGCGCATGCGCGCATAAGCACGCGGATCGTGCGACCTTCAGTGGCCCTGCGGAAAAGACGCAGTACAACACAAGGTGTACTGTAGTACACGTTTCATTGTAGTGTGATAGCCGACCTCATATACGCTGTACGGGGAGAT